AAATAGAGATAGACCGTCGAGAAGCGCCTCTCGAAAAGGAGGGCAGGAAGAAGCCAACCGTGCATTTGGTATCCGCTCGTGGTATCTTATCCAAAGAGAAAAACATCGGGCCAGGTGCGTGTCGGGGCACCATTGGCACGGCAGGCAGGCGGCAGGGTCCCGTGCCGCTTCTGCGAAGCCGTGTCGGGGAGGCTCTGGATAGCACGCGCGCGTTGTGGCACGCGAGTCGTAGGCAGCCGACGATGGAGGAGCAGATGTTCCTCTTCCTCCTTCTCCTTCTCCTCCTGGGGAACCTCCTAATGCCACACCATCCCTCGCGTTTATTTCCCTTTATATCCAGGATCTCGACTCGCCTGCGATCTCTGGCGTCTGCTTCTGCGCGGCCCGATGTTCTCCACGAGGTTCTCGAGCGCCGAGCCACTGGATTCGCGAGAGTACGATTGACAGAAAATATCGATTCGCTTTACTTTACTACGCCGCAATTACAATCGGTCGGGTACATATTCCTTTTCCCGAGAGCTTTCAACACTACGTCCGCCGTGTACGTGTATGTGTGTTTCCTCTTCTCTCCGGAAACAGATACCCGCTTCCGGGCACTTTCCAATGTTTGCATTTTTAAGTTTCACAACTGATTTCGTAAAAGTTCGATATGTAATAAAATTTATTCCACTTTTGAATATATATTCCTTATATTCCGTAAAGTTACGGTGATACGCTTTCTGAATTCATCTTCCTTTGTGGTTCGAACAAGGCAGCACACCTGTGTTCTCGCGCGGGACGCACGCGGTGCTTTCGGTTCAAGTTTTTAAACTGATTCAAGCTGATTCGGAAGGATACAGATCTGTGTTTTTTCAATTCCTCTAGAAAAAAAAAAAAAAAAAAAAACGAACGTAAATTCAGTGCTAATAAAAACAATTATCTCATTCGCGATAGTTGCGAGATTTAAACGAAATTCATTGATTTCGAAAATCCCTCTTACATCGACGATCGTTACGTGGTTACTTGTGCATCATTCGAAATCTAAAAACGCCGCCATTTATTGTTCAACCGCATTATCGTATAACGTTTAATGGTACACGCACTGATTACGACAGGGAAATACGGCTCGGTTTACGAGAGCGATGCATTTCATGGACGGAGAGCGATTCCATCGATTCCACGAGATCCAATTTTAATTGTTTAGTAAAATATGACTCTTGTATAGACACACACACACGTAGATTCGATCATCATTCTCCATATATTTCTCCGCAATATTTTATCAAAATATTTATTTGCTTATCGGAAGTTTCCTCTTTTGATAAAAAGTTGGAGGAAAAGAACGAATGAACAGATCGTAAATCACTTCTTTCGAGCGATAACTTCTCGATAAACTCTCAGTCACGTTTCGTCGTTATCCTCGACGGCGTGTGCATTTGTCATACGTTCATTTGCTTAAGTTATGTCGGATCCTTACGTAAGTCATTTAATTGACGCGCATTGCGTAAGAAGACAGTCTCTCTCTCTCTCTCTCTCTCTCTCTCTCTCTGGAAGGTTGAGTGTCACGGTCAAACACACCGTCGTCGATGCTGCTATCGCCGCGTGCACCTGCCAGATGCACATCGAGGCGAGGATGCGTTGGAGATATACGGGCACATAATACGCACCTTTGTGCCGGGAATTCTGAGGGAAAGGGATACGTTCTCGTATCCCTCGTCCTCGATCCTTTCAGGGATTTCTTGTCTCGAAAAAGCGGGCCTCGAGCGAGCGCCAGCTGCTGCCTCTCTGCCCATCGTCAGTTCGCTTTCGGTGTTCGAGGTGGTTCGAGGTGGTTCGAGACACGAGACACGCGTGCCCCGTTTCCTCCTCACGAGAGAAGAAACAGTTTCGCGGCGCGATCGCGTTGGTGGTAATTGCGCGCAAGGGCGAGCCGTACCGCATCGGGGACCACGTTTGCGGCACTCGTGCAACCGCATCATAGACGAAGATAGATCTCGAGCAATTCGATACACGTGGAAAAACGCCCGAGACGACCTCGGAAGCAACATGATCGTTTGCGTTTCCCACTTCGGGGGGTGCGTCCCCTTTATTTCTTACGATCCGCGACCGAGAGACTGGCCTACATTACGCATTACGTTTGATTATATATAATAATAATAATTAAAGACACCTGGCGTCACATCCGCGAGAACAGGGCGCGATACGATATCGTTTATCTGATTTCAATTATCCCTCCCATATACTTCTTTACCGCACAGTGTTTCTTTGTATAGGCTTTTCCATAAATTCAACTACTGAAAGGATAATGAAAAAAAAATAAAATTTGGAGAGCAAATTTGAGCAAAAGGGAAAAATCCAAGTTAAAAAGTTCATTAATTTTCCAAAAGAAAGGCAATTGTAAAAATTGAAAAATTTATATGAGAGTTTTTTAAATGGATAGTGCTCTTTTGGTGGTCTTTTACATATCTAGATATCTCCCGCGATTTTTTATCACCAAAAATCGTCTTTGACGTAATTCATTGGAAAGTAATTTGCGAATGAGAGAATAGGAATAAGAATCGTTAGCGGCCGAAGTTTAGCAGCCAATGTCTCGCAACTGTGATAACCAGAGTAAACACAACTAATGACGCGTATCTCTGTTCTTTCCTACGCAGCTTCCCGACAAAGGTGGAGAGACCCTTGACGTCGCACAGCAGCACGGCAGCGAGTCAGATCCACGGCAACGGCATGCACGGCGCTTATTCGTCCGGCAGTCAGACCTCCTTGTCGACGACGTCGTACATCACCGGTCAATCCTACATGCAGAATCAGAATTACGCTCATGGGCTTCCGTATCCCGCCGCGAGCGTGCAGGTCTATCCGCACAACACGACGGGCTATTCGCAGCCGCAGAGCTACGGCACCATAGTGCAGGGCTTTGGCGGGCAACCGCAGTCCGCTGGATATCAGCAGAGTCACCTAAAGAAGGGTTCGGTCCGTAACGGCGATGTGCTCAAACGATGTCGGCTGCAGACCGCGTGAGTAGTTGTGTAATAATCTTGCACGTCTCCTCTCTCCTCTTATATACATTCGCAATCGCGAACGAACAATAGATACGGATACCGTAACGGTGCGCGTGCGAATGAAAAATCGTATCGAAAAAACGCCCATGAGACCGCCGTGAGAGGAATGGATCGAGAGTTACAAAATTGCGTGATCTCGTTTCGTACAGGTACGAGCTGTCGCAGGATCTGCTTGACAAACAGATCGAGATGCTGGAGCGGAAGTACGGCGGCGTGAAGGCGCGGAACGCGGCGTTGACGATTCAACGTGCCTTCCGGAGGTATACGTTGCTAAAAAAATTCGCGGCTATCACGGCGATGGCCAAGGCGGAGAAACGACTGAGCCGAAAGCTTCAGGAGGCGACGACGGACCGTTCGGGCAATCTCAACGATCACGAGAGAATGGTTTATCACAGTCAGATATACATTCAGCAGACGCAGTCTGCCAACAGGTAATGCAGGGAAAGCGTTCTTTGCGAGCACGATTCTTTCTCACGTTACGAAAAAAATTTATCGCGCTAAATTGATTGCGAATCTAACAGACCGATGCCGATACGAAGCATGTCTCTCAGGGAGAGGCGGCACGTGGATAACTCGCAATCGCCTATACCGAGGAGTCAGAGCGGTAGATGCGAGGTCCAAGTCAGCAGTCATCAGCACACGAATCAGCACAATTTGCATCAGAGTGGTAGACATACGCCCTCGTTGGCACCTAGCCCGTGCAACCGACATCAGCAATTACCACCGAGTCCATGCTGGGAGTCGAGCTCTCAGGAGAGCGGTTCCAGTATCCATTACTACAATCCACAGGTAAGTGATGATAAAACGCGACGACAAAACACTCGACGGTGCGATCGATCGATTTTGTAAGATGGATGATTTGTTATAAAGATATTATTATGCAAGAGTATTATTCTTATTATAACATAGGAAGCTTTGTGCGGTCTACGACAGGAGACGCCGCCAAGAGACTTGCTACGGACACCGTGTACATCGCCGTCGACGCCGCACAATCTGCAAACGACGATATCGCAAAATTGGAACAATGCCAACCAGCTTGGTCCTGGCAGAACGAGAGGTTCCGGCAAGAAGATCCCGCCAGAGGTGCCGAAAAGAACATCCTCCATCTCATCGAGATCTATGGAACCGCGTCACAATGGTCTCAGTAAAAGCGTAGAGAACGGAAGTTTAAGCTCGGTGCAGAGTTCCGGCAGCGATTCCACCAATTGTGAAAGCTCCGAGGGCGATGCTCAAAGAGGTTCGCCCGTTTGGAAGCACAAAGGGATTGTGAGTACAAACTGATTTTTTTTTTTTTTTTTACTATATTCGTGTCGTTACTTGCTCACTTAGCGCAAGTAACGGCGATTTCTTGAAGACGTAAGCGAAAAGTATTAACGGAACATATTCTGATTGTGAAATCAGTCGAGTT